CTCTACTCACATCATGAATACTTATATAAATATCCCCTAAACCTCCCTATCACTACCTTACTATACACTATACTACAACCCCCTCACTACTATATATTAAATCATAAACTACTACCCTCCACTACCTACTCTACCCTCATACTCACACATACTAAAATATATAAACTATAACTTAAATACTACCTTACCATAAATATCACACACTCATATATACAATATACACTATACACCCTAAAACTATAAATATCTCATTCAAATATAAACTATATAAATATCAACCACCCCCTATATAAATAAAAACCAAAATCCATACAATACACTAACCAATATATTAAATATACTACCAATACTCCACTTAAACTATCACTCAATATATAAATATCATTAAATATATAAATTATATAAACTATATAAATATATAAACTATATATAACTTATATAATTATAAATATATAAATATATATAACATAGACTATAAATACTATATACACGTCACTATATAGACTCACTTACTCACCCACACTCATCACCTACACAATACCTCCTACCCCCTACCTATATACCTACTATATACCTACTCACTCACTCTCTCTACTACCCTATATCACCCTATCACTCATCTTCCTATACTAATTATATATTAATATATATGCTCTCACCCCTACTACCTCACCTACTCACCTACCTACACCTACCTCCTCCTCTACCTCAACTCCTACCTCATATACTACCTCACCTACAATACTACCCTACTATAATTCCTCTCCAAATCACTACACACTTCACTCATAACACTCACCTACACACTCTCAAATAAACAACCTCACTCACTTGCTTGCTGTCGCTATCGTGCTGTCGCCCTCCCACCCCTCCCCGCCGCCCTGTGTCGTGTGTGTGTGCTGTGTTGTGTGCTCGTGTCGTCGCTGATGCTCGCCTCCCACCCTGTGTGTGTGCATCGCTCGCTAGCTGCTCGCTGTGTGTGTGTGCTCGGCTGTGTGAGTGTCGATGTGAGTGTCGTGTGACGTGGCTGTGCTCTCGTCCGCCGCTGCTGCACGCTGCTCGTGCTGAGTGTTGTCGTGACGCCTGCTGTCGCTGAGCTCGTGTTGCTGCTGTCGCTGTCGAGTGGTGCCCCACTCGCCCCAGCACCCCCCTACCCCTCACCCCCCTGGTCTGCCGTTGTGTCGTGAGGTGTGTGCCGCTACCCACCCTAATGCTCTGTAGTGTGTGTGTTGTGTGATGTGTGTGTGTGTCGTGTGCTCGATGTGTGTGTGATAGTGTGTGTTTGTGGGTGGTGCTGCTGTGTGCGCGTGTGTGTGTGTGTCGCGCTCGTGACGATATCGCTATCGTAGACCCCGCTCCCCCCATCCTCTCACTACTCTACCCTACTCACCTATATACCCTCTCCCTCACTACCTATACTTTATCACACTGTACCTATCATCCCCTCATATCCTCTCGCCCACCCCTCTATAACCTTACTCATACTGCCTACACTCGCTCCACCCTTATACACATACCTATATATCCTTGCCCTCACACTCGCTACTACTAAGTATCTCGTACCATACTACTCACTCTACCTACTTATTAACCCGCTCTACATATATCCTACCCCTCGCCTACTATTAGCTATATATAACCTATATACTACTACTACTATACCTACTATACTACTACCTATACTATATCGGTGTACATTCTCACGTCTCCACTACTATTCTACCTATCTCTATACTATACCTAATATAATACTAACTATAACTATACTCTCCTATAGTACTCATCATATATATACTACACTATATTATACTACTCACCTATCTCTACATTACTATACTCACTTACCCTACTCACTACTTATATACTATCATCCTACCGCTAATATATTTATCTACCTCTCTATATAGCCTACTATATCTAGATATACATACTCACTTCCTACCACTACTTATCAACTATGCACACACACATACCTCATACTATATACTATTGCTGTCGTGTTGTGTGTGTGTGTGTTTGTGTGTGTCGTTGTGTGTGTGCCTGTGCTGATGTGTGCTGTTAGTGTGTGTGTGTGTAGTGTGCTCGTGTGTGTGTAGTGTCGTGTGTTGTATTCGGTCTACTCATAGTGTGTGTGTGTCGTGCTGTCCGTGCTGCTGGTATGTGTTGCTGCTGTGTGGTCTATGTGTTGTGTGTGTGCTGTTGTGTGTGGTGTGTCGTGCTGTGTCGTGTGTGCTGTGTGCTGTGTAGTCGCTGTGTGTGTCGTGTGTCGCTGGCCGTGCTTGCTTCCCTTTTATACTACTTCGACTATTCCACAGTAGCCAGTCACTATGTAGTGTATATATATTAACTTTGTATAGGCAATCCTTATTGATGTGTTAGATATTTCTCTATGCCAACTCCTGGCATTCACCCCCTATATATCATCTTGTTTTATAGCCTACGCTCAGCCTTCTGGAAGCAGAGTCCTCGTTACCTGCATTAATATTCCCGTATCTCAGCAGCCGGATCTGGAACTCTCAGATCAGACCCATTGGGACTCTGCAATCTCAACTAGCTCAGCAAGGGCTACTTACCACCTTTCGCTTCTCATTTCGCTCACAGATGCCAGTTCTATCCAAGGCACTGTACATGCATCACTATGCTCCTTTATCAACCCATATAGAGATATGATTATCGCTCACTAATGCTCTCAGCATTGGATGATATCCATCCGAATTCTTCAGCTATAGTCGCTACACATCGTAAATTTAATGCTTCAAATTTTGGTAGAATACACACATGCTTTTTTTTTTTTTTACAGATTTGATTGAAGATTGGTCCTCCAGAGCTCCACCTGACCTCCTTCATTTTGTTCCATATACATGGAACTTCTGCTTAAGGCTTCATCAGTTTGAGTTGATTACCTTAGCAAATGGTTATAACTGGGTTGACTGCTCTTCTCAACACCAGGCAAATGGTAAGTTTGATGTGTTCACTTACAACTGATATATTTGGTATTTATAAAGATCCTACTTATTTAAGAATATCTATTTTGAGATAGTCAGTTTATAATGATTTTCTTTTTTTCACCAGCTCACGTTGCCTTCTGTGGGGACTTATTTGAACTGAAGTTTACCCTTCCATTTGTAGACTTCTTGCCAGAAACAGTTACCCTCAAGTTTCTCATGCTAGTAAGTGCCACTCTCTGTATGAAATTACTTTCAGTGTATGGTCCAAATAAATCTCTACAGCTTGTTTGTTTCTTCTGCAATCTATGTTTAAATGCAATGAAATATACATTTTTCCTCAAATCATTTTACGATGACATTTCAGGCCGAGACAGTTGATCTAAGCTTATATCTACCTCCATCAAATACTTCACGAAATATCATTGCTTCTTTGGACCGCAATGCTAAGTTAGTTGATCCAGAAGGAAGACCACAACAGCCCTTCACAAATGATAAATGGAGAAAGTTTTGTAAACTTAGGTTGGTTAAATGACTTTGAATATGTAAGTTACATACACAGGATGCCTACACGCACACGCACACGCACACACACATGCACATGCATATGCACACACACATGCAAACAAATATGCACATGCACACTCATACTCATGATTACTCATGGTTATGATTTTTATCATCATCATCATCATCATCTTAGTATTATCATTACTATTAATGTTATTATAGTTATTGTCTTAATTATTGTTATTATTGTTATCATTACTATTATTGTCATAATTACTGTTATTGTTATTATTATTATTATTGATAACAAATAAAGTAACATCTTTTCTCTACCTTTTGGTAACAGTGCTGGTTGGATTGATTGCTGGCATGTTCTTGAACTGCAGCTAAATATTGGGTACATTTATCATCCAGTCCCACCGCTTGGGCCATCACCTCAGGCCAATGTCTCTACACCAGAAAAGGAAGAGCTGCTGTTGTCACCCATCCGAGCACCAAACAGGAAAAAATCTCCAATGGAAATCAAAGTCTGTACAGGAACTAGAACTGGTTTTAGTTTATTTTGATTGCATTTAACTTTAATCTATGCTGTTGAAAATGCTCACATACGCAAATGCTCTCCCCGTTTCTCTCACATATTTCTAGTTGCCCACTTACCCAAGTAAATTCACAGAGCAGGCAGTAATTTAGTCTAGGCAGTTTTCACACTGCAAATGATTTGATTAACAATTATATAATATTTTTGACAGAGTATACCTCGAGAATATTTGATCCAACTTCAATGAGTCCTGATATATTCAGTGTGGATCTGCATATTAGCAAGGCCTCAGAGATTAATTTATATGGCTCAGTTCTCATTCGTTACTTCATAACAAGAATAATAATATATATTATATATACGTACTATATATACGCTTTCTATGTTACTATTATTATATATACTATCCTTATCATATATCATAGAATATATATTATATACTTATATATATATAATGTATTATATATTTATATGGTATTATATTTCATATATTTTATATTTTTTTATATACCACCCATGTATACCATGCCTTTTACATATTCATTTTGATCACCTATTATACACTGCTTCTCTTTCATGTGAAAGTGGCTCCAGTCAAACTTCAGATTCTCTAAACAAGATTGGTTTGTTTTACAGGAAAACATATTTGGAGAAGATCAGAAATTTACTGATATGAATCAGACACACATTGATGAAGAGAACCCAATCGATCTAAGTCAACATGAAGATTCAAAGTCAAACAGTGTTATAGAGGAGAAAAAAGCTGAATTTGATTTCCGCAAATACCGGCAGTTTAAAGTAAAAGTTTATGTGGATATACGAAATGTGCATGGACATCTTGTAAAGGTAAAACAATTTGGGTGCATTAGATGTTACTCTGCAGTTATTGTTGATATTCCGTCTTTCAAATTTGTTGTAAATTTTTAACATTGATTATAAAAATAAATTATGAGGTATTAAAAAATTGGGAGGGGCGGAATATGACTTTTGTAATTGTATGTGGATTA